CAAAGTTTATGAAAATACCCAACGACTGCTTCATTCAGTGAGGTAAAATTGTAGGCACTGCTGCAACGTCAGGCAGTTTTCGGATTGTAGTGGTCGATTTGGCATATTTCGAAGTCAAGGTTGATTGTCCGCTCCCCAACTCGCTATCTCATTCCAATGGAAGCAATAGCAGACGAAACTTAGCATTTTTGCTTAGACGGGGCCGGCGGAACAACTCATCATTCGGACGACACTGTTCCTAACATTAAATGTATGAATATCTGGGAAGTCAGTCTTCTAAATGATAAGTTCTGCTGGAAAGCCCCACAATCAAACCAAATGAAAGTAACTACATGCTCTCAAATTTGCGAAGAAGTGAACACGAGGCAAAATTTACCCATCTTGCTGAGGATGCCTATATCGACCCACGTTTGGAGAGCGCTCAGTTATTTAATTTACTGGAAGCATAAGATGCCCATATCCAAACTACGACCAAGGAGTGAGCGCTCGCGGTAGAACCGGTACGAATCAATTTGTAATATCAGTACACTACCTTTGCACCAATAAGGAGAGGACGTTTTTAGTTGGGTGATTATTCTTTTGGAATGTTGTCCAGTCCTCCTCTGTGAACGTGACTGGTGTTGTACTTATACTAGGAAACTCGTTACCTATCATGAAGCATGTAGTGGCCGTTACTACACTTCTATCTTGTTAGCTGCGTTGTTTTTTAAAGTATGGCACTGATTTCTCAGTTCGAAATGATGCATTCTTGACAAGCTAGAATACAACCTACTCAAATTTGCGCACTTGACTGGCTTGCTCAACCATAAGGACTCCAGAGCAGACTTCAGGTTCGGAAAACAATGACACGAATGGGTCTGCTGGATGAACAGAAGTAACACTGGTCAGGCATTTATACGTGGGTCAGCAAAGCTCCACGTTTACCCTCGGTCAGTACACTAAAGTAAGCTAGCACACTACTCTTGCTGTTATTAGTAGAATAAAGCAAGCTTCAGTAAAAATTACCCACAGTGTGCCTGTTCATTATGTTCACCCCTCAGAGTGGCCGTTTTGGTTTCTTTCCTCAAAATCATGTTTTAAAACCTATCAGCAACAGACGTAACACACAGATAACAGCAACACCCCTAAAAATGTTCAGGTGGATGTCATGGAATATTACGAAAAGTGTAGTTTTAACGAGTAATAACGTACATTGCACGTTTCAGAAGCCACGCTCTTCAACCGATCACTTCAATGGGTACTGTAGATGCCTGTGCCATACTACCACCATCAACACTCTGTTTTAAGGCCATATACTACTGATAAACCCTGTTAACAATGTGTTTGTAATGCGCAACGCCACCTTCGTAGAAAATCGACAGCTAAATTGTAGATCATTGCGTAGATCGAGTTTGTTCGTTCATTTAGGTCAGATTTTAAAATGACAAGTAACTTCCCGTCAGGGCGCCTCCAGATGCTATTACAACGACTGATGAGTGCCTCTTCAGTTGTTCACAGGACTTCTTGATAGAATCCCGAGTCTTTTTCCTTTCAAATTCGCTGGCCTGATTAATTTCTGTGGAACATATGCTAGTCTGACACGTTCCGAAAGACAAATAAACGACAAAACCACGACAACTCACATCCCCATTTTAACGGAAAGTTTCTGTTCAGGTCCACACCAACGCAATGCTCCCCGGCAGTGGGTGAACGATTCTTTCGCCAAAGACGATCCTTGGTGAGAAACAGTCAATCAAACCGCAGAAAAATATAAGTATGCATGCTCACTAACTTGGTCAAATTTAAATTCCATCTACTAAATAACTTCCTCCCCGCATTTCCAGAGTTTGTACCTTCGGAACAGTCACTGTATTCCTAACCACAAGAGATGAATTGTCATAAGAAAATCAATGTCCCGAAATTTTGAGCTTGAAATATGTTGAGAACACACAACTCTGCAACAGTCACTGTATTCCTAACCACAAGAGATGAATTGTCATAAGAAAATCAATGTCCCGAAATTTTGAGCTTGAAATATGTTGAGAACACACCAACTCTGCACCCAGGAAACGGCGCGTTTTACATGGATATTCTGAAATCTTTCAGGAGAGAAGACTTGTAGAAAATTCTTACTCAGTCACTTTCGCTCGTTCAAAAACAATTCATCGTGAACGAAATCTAAGCAAAGTATGTCGAAGAGAACTATTCAGCCAGGGTTTTTTACATTTGCGCGGCAGCCATCGGCAGAATGCGTCAAAGTAGAAGACGGCTTGAGGGAAAACAATACTAGCAATGTTGTGGAATGTAGGTAGCTCGGATGCGCTGTTTGGTTGTTGGTCTGTTCGCCGAGCTTGGTAGTTGGATTGCAAACGTTTCGTCACCATCGTCAGTGCATTGACATCGTCAACCCTGCACTGGCGATGTCACCTCGATTGGTGATGAAACGTTTGCAATCCAACTGCCAAGCTCGGCGAACAGGCCAACAACCAAAAACAATACTTTGATTGGCGATTTATCACCCAAGAAGTCCAGTGCGATTTCTCTGGTTGACTTCTACTCAGTCTTAGGTCCGATTTTTACGCGTGTTAAATGCATATTCTTCATAGTACCGGAGGTTCAACTCCGCTCCTCTGACACGCGATGCCAGCGTGTGTGTCTACTGTTCAATCAATAAGTACTAATTGAACTTGGATATGCCAGTTCTAGTGTGTTTGGGAGAATATAACCCACTCCGATAACGCCCATAAAGTTCAAACTGAGTTGCCAGTTTTACAGAATTAAATGGAGTCCGAATGCGGTGTTTGGTTGTCTGTCTGTTCGCCAAGGTTGGCAGCTGGATTCCAAAATTCTCATCACCGACTGGTGATGAAACCCTTACGCTGAGTGTGTATGCCATAGATCTGGGGGCAAACGACTCCAGTCACAGATGGATGCTCTACTTCTAGCCAATATAACTTCACTCTGACGTGTGTAAATGGATGCAGCCCCTTAGAACTACTTCTGCAGATTAATGTGTTTGCAAGCGTTTACAAGTTATGGAATTTTTTCACTGAGTGGTTCTGATTTCCATTGGGTACCCTTGAAAGTTCGGGACTAACATGAATTTTTTCAAGTCACCTGGGGCTTATTTTACTTATGGCTGTCAGATTCACAACACTTGTGTTTGCCCTCTGACTTACGGCTTGGTGAGTGTAGTGATAGCCGTCCGGGTTCACCAAAGGCACAATAAAGAACTGGAAGTCCTTCAAAAAGGCCTGCCCGCCTCGTGTAAGCAGCTGGAAGAAAGACGAGGAGGAGAAAGAAAGAGGAGGAAAATACAGATAGTAGAAATTATTGAGTGGAATAATCTAGCAATCAAATACTTCAGTAGGGTAACCAGGTTTTCGTTAATCGGGTGGAGTTACCATAGTGTTTAAGTCGTGCTTTGTTGACCGTACAGACGGACATAGATATTGTATTCCCCAGTAGATGCGTCTCCAGGTAAATGTTGCTCTCTTGGATGGGCTTCGAAGGTAAACCACTCTCATGGGCAGCAAACCAACCAGCTTTCAAACAGTTAACTCTCATGGGCGAATAACCTCAAGCATTGACTTGAATAAGGACCACGACACATTCTAGAATGTCTTTGGCTCTCACACGTCCTTTCTCCATTATTCAGACCGCATCATTAACAAGTCAGAAGACTTTGGTCGTTGAGAGTAAACGCTTTCACTCCAACTAATTTTACCTCCTTGTATACACGACGGCATCGTAAGCCAAAACAGGTTCCTTCTTGACTCATCAAACGCGTGATTGATTGCAATATCTTGACGTACTCAACTGAAGTGTATTGTGCTGCATTTGTGAGTTAAAATACCCTTGGTTGGTCAATGTAAAGTCGAGGTTAGTTATTTAGCAAGACACTAACAGGACTTTATAATAGTTTCACACTTGTTCAGCACATATCGAGAGATTAACGTGGTTCCGGTGTATGAAACAAAACAAAGGTCTAGTTTCCTGGTTAATAGGTGCCGTTGTGATCAGCATATTCTTTAAAATGGAATTCTTGGTCCTTCTCAACCAGAGGACAGAAGCGCAGAATATTATTCGTTGTACAGCAACGTTTATAAAGCAAACGGATGCCGTCGGGAGTCTGAGGTTCTCTCAGTACGCTCTCAATGCATTTTGCGACCTGAGAAGCATTTTATAGATCACCTAAAGATCACTCAGTAAAAAAACAATGGTCCAGTAAACTACTGCTCCAGGAAAAACACTGCAGGGCCAAACTCGATGACTTAAGGGACCATACCAGCTCAATCCTAAAGTAAATGGAAGGGATCTGGATCTTTAGCGTTCGGGTTCAAAAATTATCTCTGAGGTTCAAGCAGTCTCAACGATACTGGAAAGCGGAGATATGCACATTCACCCCAAATGTGAGATACCTTGCTGCAAAAGATTATGTTTTCTGGGTTTTTTAGTGGCAACTTGTTATGAGTAGGTTGTCACGTGCTTTGTAGACAAATGTTTAAAATCATATTCACAGGGGCTAGACCGTCGATGGAAAGAATCGCGAAAGATGGGTGCTGATGGGAAAGCTGGTGAGAGAACTGGTCCATCGTTTTTGACATTTTATCTGAAGGTGTAGGGTAATATAAGATGAGTATTCCCGTTGTTTTTTTTCTCACTGAATTCCTTCGCGTTGTCACTACTCGCAATGAGCGGAGCAGGTCTTCAGTTGAAAACCGCGGATGGTCAACCATACTCATCTGGACACACTGCATTGTTTCTTCTGTGACCACAAATTAACGACATGGAAGTATTAGTGTTGAACTCTGATATTATGTTCTCGATGATGATGATGATGATGACCACAACTAAGAACTCCAACAGGAACTGCACGGGTTTTATGTTGACTTACCCGATCAACAAAATATAGTGTTGCTGCGGGTGCGATCCATTCACGAGCGTGTATTCCAGCATCAATCCAAATGATTGGCTTGCTCGTATCCTTGGATATCTGAAAGGACAAGTCAGTGATAAATGTCAGCACACGACTCAGTGTTTCGGTAGGCTCTTTCAAGTTAATTAACTGACTTCCAGTTATAAAGCTATCACAACTTTCTCTACACCGCAGAGCATTATAACACTCTCTGTTTTGAATATGACCGGCTTTACTTGATTGACGCTCAACATTTGATTGGTTCGTACTCACTTCGAATGCCTCGGAGTACAAAACACGAGCTTCAGGACAACCGTTGCATGGGTTCTGAAGACTGGCTTGTTTTTATCAGGCTGTGTGATATACTGAGCACTGCACTTTCAAAAATGTACATTCATCAAGACTGCTAAATGTTGTAATGACCAATACGACCAAACTTGTTGAGCAAATCAAGCATACAGTCTGTATACAAGTTGCTACCAAGCCAGACCATCACTAACAACGGATGGTCCTTTGAGCTTCACCAAGCTGAGGCGAAAGAAATGACCCAGTAGTTAATTTTTATTGGATGTGTATACTACTATGGTGTGCAAAGTTATTAGTAGATTTCAAGAAACCATTCTGGCTGACTCGATAGCGAAGCAACCGTAGACAATGGCTGTAGGTAAATGCTGTAGGTGAATGACGTCAAAACCAATTTGACAAAAGACAAGGTTGTGAAGACAACATACATGGTATCGGATATGTATTATTATTACCTTACGTAAGCAGCTGTTTGAGCAGAAGCAGCTTACTCAGTCACCTCGATCGAGCCAGGAGGCCCGTAAACAGCCCCTAATAAACTTGCTCGTGAAGGAATGACTGATCAAGGCAAGTGACTATTTCCTGAAGAAAGATGAGTCGGCTTCAGTAGCCAATGAATTTCAATCTGAAGCACGGCCTGCATATATAGACAGCCAGTCTGTTCTTAGTGGTGCATAGCTTAAAAAGATCACATCCAGGTGTTCCATGGTTACCTTGATGGTATTGATCGTGGTCACTAATTTCATAGAATACTTACTTGACTTGTTTCTTGAACAAAAACGAAACAATTTGTCCCTTGATACGATAGTACTTCATCATTCGGTGACACGGCTGACTGCGTGAATTACACTCACATGCACGTCATCCCATACCTAGCTTCGTTACTCGCACCTTTCAAGGGATCGGAAGTGAGGCATTCTCGATTGAGAATCCCCTGTTCATTTTTTTTCTTTTTCCTTCTGCTCTCGGCCTGAATTGGCACGTAACTTCCAAACTGTCTACACCGTTAGCTTCAGCATGACATCAGTGTTCAGCACCGATGCCTCACTGCCGTACAACCATGACTTATTTGAAAGCCTTATTGTAAAGAAAAGAATAAGGATGGACGGGGGAGGGACTTAGTGCCAGCTTAACACAATCATTCCGAGGTGCCTACACCTCCAGACATTAACTCAGGCAATCTGGGTAGAAACTGACAACAAGAACGCCACTGACATCGGTTGGCAGCCATATCTTGTGGTGTCTCCAACCAGGCACAGTGAGGATCACACGGTCCCCATCCTGGAAGTCGAGCAGCACCGACGGCACCCAAGCGTTTCGTGATCTCCTTCATATTCCTCTGCCAAGTCAAGGGTTGGCCACCTCTTTGTTTACGGCACTCTCAATTGGGCATGGAAAACAGCACTCTCTTCAGCAAACGATGATTCGGAGTACGCAACACCTGTCTTAACCAACGCAGCTTCTGGTGCTGGACACATTCTTCAATGGAACTACGCTTTGTACAACCGAAAATGCGCTTTCCATCTGCCATCGGTCGACCAACAAAGAACGAGTCACACTTCTGACAGCTGACTAGTATTTACCCTTATAGCTGTGTGAGTCTGTATTACTGAATTCTGTTGACAGTTGTTTGTTTATTTGCAACTGTGAAAACCGAGATGTTGACTAAATCCCATATTCTGATGAAAATAAGTCTCAGTAAGTGGTCTCTATAGGAGGCTTAAGGCGTCAGATGCCTCAGATATCCATAGCCTGGGCTTCAGGTGGTACAATGCATGCCTACTTTCAGTCGATGAAACTATTGTTGTTGCACTAACAAAGAAGAGACACAGTGGTGCATGTTAGATTCTCGTCATCATTCTTGGGCGTGTTAGCAAGACATCTGGGGAATAAGACATAGAACAGGCCAAATCTTTTGATCATCTTTTGCGTACAGCAACAGAAAACCACACAGTTTCAGGGGCAATAAATATGTAAAACCGTGGGGGTTAGGAAATGTTAAATATTCAACTTCCAGTCACGTGGTTTGAGTGATGTATTGGATGAGGTAAAAACCGGACAAATTAGTTCTTCCATTCTGACGGATGATCTTCTAGCCATGTAATCTGTTTTATTGATAGTGTGTTGAACTGGGTAGATTCAAAGGTGGTAAATATAAACATGAGTGAATAATTAACAATGAAAAGGCGAAAAAATTTCGGCTCGGTGCAAGGTAACATACCTTCATAGCGCGAACTGGTCTACTTTCTGCCGTGTAACCCAAAACTTCTATTTGAACGAATGGGTGTTTCCTCGCGTATCGATCCACCGCGGCTTCGATCTGATGCGAAGTCAAAATAGATTGTAATTATCGTGGCAGGTTAATGCAGTACAGGACTTTCTTATCATGAAAACCAGCATTTGGAAGCAGTCATACCATTTAACTTAACGTCCAAAAAGAAGCCAAGATTAAACAAGACTACAGAAAGCAGAACACAACAACCCTGTCAAACCTATCCACTGCCCGTCTTCCTGTGAGTAACACTCGTCACACTGGTGGAGCATATACGATTGCCTTATGTTCAAAGTGAATTAGTGAATACAAGCCCCCCCTTAGAGATCAAGAGAAGTTGGGGAAGATGCTAGCAACTAACATGTTGTCAGGCTCTCAACAAGTTTCCACGCAGCTGCTAAACCGAGCAAAAGCCACCTGAATTCATGTGACAAATGCATATAGGCAGGATTGGTGACCCCTTGGTTATGATCTTCAAATTTAGTCGGGAACAAACGCAAAATGCACTGTTCTTCTAGGAGTGACCACTGCCTCACACTTATTGCTCCTGAAGGCTCTAAGCTCAGGGTCAAGTAAGCATCATGTAATGAATAACTAGGGACAATGCTAATTTTACCTCAGAAGAATTTGCCGAACCATCAGTTGACTGTAGGTGACGTCAGGAAAGTTTGGATCTTTTCGATCGAGATTTCGTCTTCTAAATAGTCGAATGGTTTGGCCTTCAGCTGTTAGCGGAAATGCTACGAGCTTGAAACACCTTGGAGATTCAAGCACCGGTTCATCAAATGTGTGAGCTTTATTCGTACAACTCAGTTCACTTCGCTTCATCTGGCAAGTGGGAAGCGAACAAATGCATGCCCAATCGTAATTTGCCTGGATGTGTGTCTGAAGTGGATATAAATTTTCTGCTGCTCAATTACTGGAGTTTGTTGCTAGCACAAAGATTTGATATGGCTAACAAAAGCCGAATTCCTAAATTTGATACCTCAAAAATATTCGGGGTTTGAGGTTCCCTACAAAGAAATGATATCCTAAAGAGAAAGGCGAAAAGACAGAGGTTCACCAGAATCGTACTCTTTGAGGTCCCTAATAGGTGCAGGTTTCAAGCAGAGGGAGTGTAGAGGAAAATGAGCACGTGACGTGATTTGCATTGACCTACCTCTTCTACTGTCCTGTACGTATCGTGTTCCGATTTCACTTTCGTTCTGAACATCTGCAAGCGAAGCTGACGGGTTTTTTCCCGTGCCTGATGGTCGATTTCGCTAAGCAAATGAAAAAGCATACTGGTGAAATGACTCACTGGAAACATATATGGAAAAATATAGTTACATAAGATCGGACAGGTTATTCATCATCTGCCATGCACAAACGTGCAACTATGTTCTCATGAAAGCGTACACATAGCAGTAAGTGTTTTGAAAATAGGTCCCACAAGAAGATTAGTCAGTTTTTGACGTCATACCTTTAGCATCGTGTTACATTTACCTAAAATTATTTAACGTTTATAAACTGTTAAGGTACTGGTAGAGTTCGTTTGAGCGAATCACTCACAAAAGACCGTCTTTTATGGTGAATGAGAGGTGATGGGATAGGCAGACGTAACGATGAAAGCACGCCTAAGACTCCCAACACGACGTCAACCGCTGGTACGAACAAGAAGGCAGAGGAAACCTTCGTACATGGATTTGTAATGTTATCTAGTTAGGTACTAGAATTAACCACCTAATTGAAGGCCCACTGCATTTTTGATAGCCATGAACATGCATGTTTTTAAATTACGCTCGTTGAAGTCAACCAACTTCGGTCCCTACTGTTCTTCAGTTAGTCATCAAAACCCCGTTTAGTGTGATTCGCACTGCCTACTGCAGTTGTATTTGCATTGCGACACAACGGCATGACCAGGTTTGTCGGACCGCATACTTCCATTTCTCACAGTTGTCGGCTGAAAAAGCATTCGTCATATGACATTCTCCGGCTGTATATAGCCTTTAAGGATAGAAAAACGTAAGTTGGCAAAGCGATATTTTGCTGTGCACATTTTTTATGGCACAGCTTCATGAAGTTGCGCGTAGGTTTCGGTGAACAGAGTAAACCACTAACAGACTGAATCATATAAAGGACCCAATTTGGCATACCATCGTTCAAAAGTATACACTGAATGAAATGAAATGACAGAAGCAGGCTTTCGGTGGAAAGGCCGGGCAGGATCCACAATCATAAATACCATTTGCCTTCACTCGCATGCCTGCATTTGAGCAGACCAAGTACACCTTTGTGATAAGGGTTTATTAATTCTTCAAAAAGATATCCTTCATGGAAGGGGCAACTTCTCTGGGGAGACAACCGTGAAGTTCCTCTTCAGCGACGATTTGTTCGAGGCTTAAGGAAAGTTTAAGTATTCCACTTTATATGATGACCTCACATGCGGGATACCGTAGAAGTTTTCCGGTCTGGACGCCTCTAAATCTACCTTAATCCAAATATGAGAAGACTCTTGCACAACGTCTTGCTACTGCGGACAAGGATGTTCTAAAGTTTGAAAGGTTGACATGTGCACATGTTTCCCACATCCAAGGCTACACCCAAATCCCACCAGAACTGATTCACTGCTGTTGTGACATATCAACTTTGCTTATGTCGTCAACCATATAAAGTGATGATCGGTTGATAGATATGGCTAAACAGCACATGAGATTTCTATGACAGATTACTTGTGAGCCTTCTGGAAACTCGTCATTACCGTTACTGTAACTTTCGCCATGTACACTTGTTTCCCACATCCAAGGCAATACCCAAATCCCACCAGAATTTGTTCACTGCTGTTGTGACGTATCAACTTTGCTTATGTCGTCACCCATATAAAGTGATGGTCGGTTGATAGATATGGTTAAACGGCACATGAGATTTCCATGACAGATTACTTGTGAGCCTGCTGGAAACTCGTCATTACCGCTACTGTAACTTTCTCAAATTGCAAGCACAAAGTCCCTCCTATTCGGTTTCCAAGTGCCTGTTTGCTCCAACAGGAATACAACAGAAAGGAATTCCGTGCTTCGAGAGCAGTCTCCCCCAAGGAAGCACCTCCTGTTGGGGGGGGCGTATTCCAGAGAGAAATAACAAACGACAGTGGTGTGACTACGAACAAAATATCTATCCCGCAAAACCCTAAAATTGCAACCAAAAAGTTGCCCAGTGGGTTTCAAGCGTGTGTCACGCCACCTGACTGGGAAGTCCTGACTGGCGGGTCCATCGGTCGTCACAACGAGGACAGTTACTGAGTCGTCGCTCGATAGGTCGGGCACACCAGTCACATTGCTCAAGTGTGAACGTTCGCCTGTTCAGACGTAAAAATTCAGACGCGCGCACAGTGAGTTGGTGGAGTAGTGGTTACCCGCTCGCTTCGCATGTCAGATGTCCGGGGTTCAAATCCCGGCACAACCATTGGATATGCAGTGCTGTTGAGTTCCAATAAGAGCGAAACCCGAGTAAGATGCTTCCCTCAGGCGCGAACTCACCAGAATTATCGCGACAGAACAGGAGGACGGCCGTTCAAACGAGAGTGATGTAACTACGAACAGAATAACAAATAGTTAAACCCGGTACGAAGTGTCCTTTGAGCAACAGCCCGCCGTTAGTTAATATGGAAGATCGGCACTCAATAAAAATATCATAGTGATTGCGAAACCAGTGGCAGTGCGTCTAATGAGCATTCAGGCTGATACAGGGAAGTCACATATTTAAATACAGTGATATGACCAAGGTATGGAACGCAACGGAACAGTATGTTTTGTCTAAAATAGAACGACCGTTTGCCTTACAAACATTGATAAATATCGATGAAAAATTAAGCGAAGATTTGCATCCAATCATGAGATACACGTTTACAAATTGCCAGCAAGTGCCTAAGTTTCGTTTTTTCCTCATAGGTTCCTCACTAGTTGGTTTCAAAGTAGCGCTCTGTTTACAATACGCGAAAACAAGGAACTTGACTGAATCATAACAGGTTAAACATACGTCTTCAAGTTTTCTATCAAAACCTCGCATGTCATGTTGAACCGGTCCAGAATTCTCGACAGATTATTCCAACCTTCCGGTGAAACCATCATACAGACGGGTCGATCCATCCTTCGATCTATGCTCCAGATGTCATAGTGCGGCTGTGAGAGACCAAGAGACGCACAAAAACGTATTAGACAAATTTGTTATTGCTGTGGAAAAAAACAGTCCACTAACTTTTAAACTCCTAAGACCGACTATACCTGAAATGATTTTCGGAGCAACTCATCCTAGCAGGGTGGTATTAAATTCAGTAAGGACACATGAAAAATTGGCTGAAAAAATGAAATCTTACAAATCAGAAACTGAAACATACTAGTGAGCTTTAACAAAAGATGGCTTCCAAATTAGCCGTAGGTCTGGTGCATTCACTAATTCTGCGGATTGTAAAACTGGTTACTTGGACAGACGTGATACACTATTCGTAAGGTTTTTGAAAACTCTTTGACAACCCACGGCCGGTTTCGCCCTTCTTGGGATTCATCAGGTTGGCACTGTCCCCAAGTTTCCGTCAATCTTGCGTTCTACTTGGTCATGTGACATTATTTCTGACCAGAATAGCCGTTTCCAGTAGGAAGTACTATGTCCCTCAGAAGTTTCTCCAAATACCTTTAGTGAATTTGGTGCCTTTAATCCAGTACTTGCGCAACTAGGGACGACTAATTTTGCTAGATTTCCAACCATTCGACCGCGAAGGTTAACTTTTTTGTTGCCCGTCAGTCAGTCAGTTCACTTCCGACATGTAAATTGACAGATAAGGCCGGTACCTCTGTCAGAAAATCTCTGAAAATGCTCCAACTTATTTGATATGCAGACTGAGGTAGTCAACATCAAGTCATCAGCCATCAGAAACACAGTATCATTGAATGTCAGACACCTAGTCCCAAGTCACTCATTTTTGTTACACAGCTGAACGCCCAAGTTACCAGCATTCAGGGAAGCAATCTCGATTGAGTTTAGAGAACAAGTAATTTGTTCATGAGAGGTACCCCTTGATGGTGCTCTCAGAGTAGCAACCCTTCTTTGGGTGCTTTACGTGATTTCTTCATTGTTGACTAGTAATATATTGTGTAGACAACTGGTGAAAGTGGAAAGAAGATCAGCATATCGTCGTTTAAATCTAAAAGTGCTGAGCCAGCGGACTGACTTTCTTAAATTCTTCTTCACTGTCGCCTTATTCAAAGCAGTCAAAGATGGAGTGTCAACAAAACGTCTGATACTGAGTAGATTCTAGATTAACATATTGTGCAAGGCTATACCGGTGATTGCGCATCGTACGACACTCAATAGCAGATGTTTGCTGTCAGATGTCTTCCGTCCCCACTGCAACCAGCTTTCTGGATTTCGTTGGACTCCTCAAAGTCATAAAGCTGGGGGATGAGTGAACCAAAAGTGCATCTGTATTGGTTTTTCTTACACCAGACTGACAGGCCTACAAACGGATATCATATTCAACAAGCTTTGTTGGATCCCGTAAGGCTCGCATCAGCAAGACCTCTTACCTACAGTGGAACTCGCCAGGGCAAATATAGGTTGGTGAAGGCGGATCAAGCCCCTCTGGATCTCAAACTCACGGTAGAAAAGATAATCTTCTGGAGAGACCACTGTCCAAAAATGATTACTTAGAAGAAGCTTCTTGTGATCGGCCTTATTAGATTTCCATCAAAGAAGCGAACTTTTTATCGGCTCCCTCACATGGGCTCACAAGCCTTGATTACCATTTGTGTGCTAGTTAATATGTAGTTAAAAAAGGCTTGAATGTGACAGAACATATCCATGAGATATCTCTGAAGAACGCATGTTATGTTGTAAATAAACAAGGCACCAAGTAGTACATGTGTTCAGTTGAGTTCCATTTGAAGCAACCAATGGATTTTAGAGGCTAGCTAGTCGAGGCTTATGAAATTGCTGAGCGAAAGCGTCGCTAGATACCGATGGTTTCGGGACCCATCCCCTTGTACTAGCCTCCAGTAGCTTGTGAAGCACAAAAATGGACATCACGACTTTTGGGCTCTGTTGGACCAACAGTCTATGGTTACAACAAGAAAATGTTATCGTTTCTGAATTTAGGTGTGCCAAAAAGTTGCATCGGTTCTTGCTTACTTATAAATAACTGCTTGCAATTGAAAAAACTTCATGCTTACTTACACTTCCAAGGTGTTCCAGTACCTGTATTGCTTTGGTTTCATTTTCCCCCCGGGGAAAGATTCTGACCAGTCGGTAGCTACAAAGGAAGACAGTGAATGTTGGAAACATGTTGCACACCAGTTTATGGCCAATCAGAACCAGGACCGCATTCCCTCGCTGTCTGTTGCTGTTATCAGAGCTTTTTTCCTTGACCCAAATCAAATGAAAATCTTTCTCAGGCCCAGATTGGTTTATCTTGTCGAACATCATGCTAAGAAAATGATTTCAAGTCTTGAAGGGAAGCAGTTTGTTGGAACTGTCAAACATCATGCTAACAAGTCTTGAAGGGAAGCAGTTTGTTGGAAAACGCTTGGAACCTATCGGGATATCGTTGTTTTAGGAAAGTCTGAAAAAAATGTCGTTCAAGTTTAAAGCTTTACATGCCGGCACTGACGAAGCATTTGGAATGAGGCCCATTGACTCACAAATGGAGAGGCAGAAAAGCTTTTCTAATATAGATAGAATCAGTTCAAGTGCTTCGGTTGCCTGTTCTTCCCGCCTAGGACACCAGAACACTTAACCGTCCGGCCACTCGTGGCCGAAAGGTTAAGTGTTCAAACTAATAGCTGGGAGGTCGCGGGTTCGAGACTCTTCGGAGTTTCGTGAGATGCGCACTGCTCATGATTCCCAATAAGGATGAAACAGCTGTACAATGCTTCTCGGCTTTTCAGCATAGATTGGCTTCACTTACAGGACGAAATCTCCACAAAAATCCCAAATCTCCTCATACTACCAACAACATAATTTGATTCTAGTTTTGTTAAATACAGGCTTGGGGCTGAGAAACGCCTACCAAAATTCAACAGGCTTAGTGTCTTCCAAATCTGCTGCTTTGCATGCTATTTTAAGGCCATGCGGTTAGATCCTTTAGCACAAAAACAGTCAGCGTAACGGATAGAAACAGACAACTTGGAGGAATTACGACCGTGAGATGACAAAAAAGGACAACAGGGAATAAAGCCTCCGGATAAAACATTTACTAAGAAAGTAAAAACATCAGGCAATCACATGTTTCACTGTACAATTTTTTATATGAAGGTCCCAGCATCATGTCATACAACTCATCTTTCCTGACTTCAACCAGTTTCAGATCAACCGATCTGATTCACGAGTTTGAATGGAATATTTTGATGCCAGAGTTATATGAAAAACGTAATGGCGAAATTCAATTTCTGCATTTTAAATGTTTGTTCTCGTTGCAAGGTAAATAGTGATCAGATCTGAATTAGTGTGCTCCAGACTGAAACTGTTGGCAGGAACAAAGGTACACTGTCTGACAGTTCTTTTCAGTATGAGGCTCGGACCTTAAGACCGATTGGCTGTTCCTTTGCCATACGACAAGCAAGTGATCGGGACAAGACTTGTCAAAACTAGAGACACGGTACATTTTGGAGGATCTGGATACATAAAAGATTGGGTAATCGTACCGCAGATTCAATCCTACAAGTGACGTCACTCGGCCCTAAAAGTCTAGGAATACTTTGCAGCTGTTTCATCCCTGTTGGAAATTGCTAACGACACTCATCCCATGAATGTCTTGGATGATACGACCTCGCAACTTTCGACCGATATTTGACGACTATATGTTCGACTACGATTGGTAGTGTGATTACCTAGAACTCAGGCGATGTACTGCACCTCTCACCCTTCAGTCACGTTTTTCACGTGCTAACTGGTCGCTCGAACGGGGACTTCTCGAAGGCAAGTTGTGAAATAGTTCCCCTTATGAGCAGACTGCTTGTAGTCGTCGCTGTGAATGCTGGATTTTGAGTGTTTACTTCAGGAGAAGTTATTCTGACCTGTACAATCCCGTCCGTCTAACATCCATATCTGTGTTTTCCCTCGCTCTAAAAGAAACGAAACCCAATGTTGACTAGATGGCCGGTGACCCCGGAATCAACCTCGGCTGAGTTGAGGTCAGCTGGCAACTTACGAAGTTTCTTAAGGACGTGATATCTGGTCAGCGGGCAAGTCCAGTGTCGGTTCTGCCGATATACGATTCACTGCAAATGCAGGTGAGTTTGAACAGTTGTACGATTCGTCGAACTTAATCACAGTGTTTTGTTCACACAGAAATGAAGAGTAGTCCATGTTAGTACGTAGTGGGTTTGAATTAAAAAGCGTCTTTGTAAGGAACCATAGGGCCAAAGTGCAAACCTGAGGTATCGAGACTATCTTATCCACCTGAGTTCTGAAGAATAGACAGTCTCTGATTGGTATGGTTAAGGATAGGCTTTAACCAACTGCGGTACGACACACCCGTGTGAATAGTACAGAAGGCATGCAGGAAGCAGAACAGTCCTCTAAAACAAAGACCAGTATGTCATGGAAAGGAATGAGTTAACCAGTTCCCTACGTGACAGCCTCCTAAATGCTGTATTTCAATCTTCCCCGAAATACTTCTCGATTTAACAAGCAATTACAGCCAGTGTCATAGGAGATATTCAAACCATTCGGAAGTCTCAGAAGCCGCGATATTTTTCCCATTAACATCACTGTTAATTACTCTTTTATCGCGCATCTATGTGACTTGATGTCTGCCATGTCTGTGTGAGCGAGGGATGTCTAACCGTCTCCGAAAGAAGGCACCAACTGGGCGGATCACCCGGGTATTTTCTTCGGAGAAACCTGAGCGAGCAGAGTCATGTTAAATTCCTTGGAACACCACGATGGCAGCAGGTTCCCTGATATAAATCTAGCTACTAGGTTGCTGAAAAGAATCTGCTAGAGTAGGACCTTCTAATCCATTTCTACTAAGTAGTCCAGTGTGCTTAGTACTTTATATTTGCTAAAACATTTTTTTCTTCTTAGTTAACTGGGATGAAACTCTTCCGTTTTAGTTGACAAACATTAAGCCTTCCTTTTGGGAAAATGCATTGTTAACCGGCACTTCTTCTCCACTACTGACGTTACCAAGGAAAAACTGTACATTCTAATGGATTCTGGGCGTATGTAGGGAGAGCATCTAAGTTCATAAATCTCAGACCTTCTATCGTGATTTTTCCCTTGTTAGTATTCATCAGACCCAACAAAATGGACGAACCAGTTTAGGAAACACGTGACAGATACGTTAACACTTAGTTTGTTATCCCTATGTAGTAGACTTCCCTGCAAGTCGACACAGCAAAATTTCCAGTAGAAGACTTCCGATAATTAATCTTATTCTTGTTTTTGGGGTATCGATTACACCTCGCGAAATCCGATAATGAATGTCTGGTACGATTCCACGAGGCCTGACAGCCTTCCATAAAGAGACATTACCTCGTTAACTGGCGGAGTTTTGTTTCTCCAAGATCTCCGTATCTTTGTTGTCGCGAGATCCTGAAAGGTCCTATTTCGACAAAAAATCGCGAAGATGAACTAAGGAGCGATAACTGTTCACGCAGTGTCCTCAACCAGTGCTATCGGTGTTTTTTTTGCTCGCATATGTTACTGATTCTTTATCTTCGTTTCAATGTGACTTGAGCGGGGAGACACTGACAAGCTAGTCGAAGGTTTGCTCGTTAGACTGGCTGGCGCATGATAAACCCAGCCAAAGAGCAGATACCCCATGAAGCGGGAAACAGCAATCGGATAGCCACACGGAATCAGTACTATTCTCATGTGCACCAGACAACATATACACGGAGAATCACGGGTAACTAGAAAGGGGATGTATCTCCTATTTAGATGACAAGAAACTCGGGCTAACACCGGCATTTGTTGAAAAAAGGACATTGCGGAAGAGCTGATTATCACGAGGCATTAACCTGGAAGAACCATATCATGCGGCTTTGTAGAGGTAAAAGCCTTCAGGATATACTGCGTTAGAGTAAATACAGAGATCCAAAAATGGTGAGTAATTTTTTACACATTTCCACAAGAGGATGATGATGATGATGGTGATGATGATGAAAAAGCGTGCAAATTTAGCTAAGTAGATCCCACATCCAACATGGCTTGCTCGCAAGACTCATGTCCCATCAATTCACCTGCAGAGTGCCGTTACACGAGGAAGCCAATGAAGTAACTCCCGATACAGCTGGTTACTGAAACGGACTTCAGTTCATTTAGCTGGACCTCACATTTGATGATCCGGAAAGTAAGGCAAATCGTCTTCTGAATAACTTTGCGTCAGCGTTGTTTTGTGAAGTAATGGAACTTTTAGAAACAGTGCTTCGAACGAAGATTTTGAAATGAAAACTTCCAACCAAACATAAGAAAAAAACAATGAGTATGAAAATCTACATTTACAAAAAGCGAACTTCTACCTGACTGCTTAAAAAGTCAATAAATTCGCTTCATATATATATATATTTATATATGCTCCTAAACATGATTACTAAACCTCGAAAAGCACATAGATTTTTACTGAACACCTGAGCCTCTGAAAAAAGGCAACGAGGATGATTTTTATAGGATACTCGGAGGTATTCGTTTATAAAAACAGCTTCTTATTTATTATAGGAATTTTACAAAGAGAAAACAGAGACGAAATCTGTCGTTGCTGACCTAGAAATACTATTACAACTGTTACTAGCCACTCTGAGAAGATTGAATCGGGCAGAAGGACCACATAAGTCTCAGAGTAGGTGCCAGTTTTGGAAAACCTATTCAAATCTCAAATGCAAGTACCGTCCCGCTTTCATGCAAGAAACAGGGAGCTGGTGTCTACGACGTAGATAGCACAGAATGAGCATGATGATCGGCTGGCTTCCAACCTGGTGTCGAAAGAGTCGGCAAATATCCATCCGACTTGGTCAGTGTGTGTGCGCACCAGTGATGAACATGTGGACAAAATGAACACAGCCATCCGAAAGTCCCCACCAAGTCACCAAACAAACTGTTATAGATTACACGTGGATCTCCTTCCGTCTTCCACGACTGCCGTCTATTCTCGCTGCGTAACCGGTAATTCTGGTGAACTCTCGTTTCGGCACAAAGTATCCCCGCATATACAGGCAACTTGTTAACCGTGTTTTTTTCATTCATTACACAATGAAGTGACATATAGCAGAACTTTTAAAAATCATAAACGTTTGATATATCCATCTTCTGGTCTCTAATTGGTAATGTGGTAAGCGGTCTATACAATTTGAACGGGCGTTAAAAAATCTACACTCAAGTTGATGTAATCACTGAACACATTATCATCCACACCCTACACTTACCCCTCATATAGAGCGTTCACACACAAAATATGTAGAACTAAAGTGCACAATGCAGCGACGAAACATCTCATTTTAGCACTGATTTGACATTACTGAACATAGCTAGGGCCCTTTTAAACATACTGCTGTTAGAACGCGTGATTCGCGCTATTGATTTCCAGAACATCGAACATCCAGTGGTATCACTAAGATCGTAGCCGGGCTGCTTAAAGGGTTCAGTGGCCTTAACGTAAACAAATTCGAATCATTCGCCGGTTCGTGTAAATGTTGAGTGACACATTAGGGCACGTGGTAGCTTAACATGTGCCAGCATGTGTGCATTTGTAAGAGTAATATTCTGCGAGCTGCCGAAGTTCTAGACGAATCACCGAAGTCCTTGGAAGGGGGAGAACAGCTGGTCGAAGAACAGCGAATTTCTCCCACCTCCTGACCCAGATTGATAACTTGCCTCTATTTACGACCTTCAACAGAAGGCAAAGCGAGAGCCTTCAATATCTCAATACAAAGACTGATGATACTGCTTCAACTGGGTAGAGAAGATGCTATATCCATTTGATAATAATGGAGATGAGAATCTCAACAAGATGAGCGGAGATTAAAACTAAAAATGATTTTTTCCCTGACTTATACACTCATACCCACAGCCAATTGGTTTTGAAAGGAGACTCAGCTGAACCTCTCGTTCATAATGTTCTGTTTTTGGGTCACCCGCCAAAACTAAATTAGTGCGCAAATGAGGGTATTTCGCTGATTTCGTGCAATTTAGGTCCGAGTAGAACCCTTGGGGTGAAGGGGAATTGGGGACTATGCCTACCGGATGAGTCCCAAGGAGGGAGGAAGCGGTCGTGGGCTGTGGAAGAGTTTTCAGCAACCTTATGCGTAGTATACTGCGCATGGACAATGATCTTTGTTCTATGCTTACGGATTCAAAACTATGAGGTTCTAGTTTTTCATAAACAACACAGCTAGTCGAGAGCTTTCAGCAACCCTGTGGGTAGTGCGTTTTCTCGGATAACGGTTTGTCGTTTACGCAGACTGGTAGTTCGATGAGTCGTGTTTAAGCGACCACAGTTCAAGTAGCCCAACAACCAAAAAAGATTTCACCGACGTACTACAATGCAGTTGGCTTGAGGAAGGCGTTCCTGTTGTTTGTTGGCAAGTCCTTGAAGTTGTTTGTGTATAATCATATCATTTTACCTGTATTTTGGAATTTTTGGGGACGCGCTTTGAATGGAAGTCTTCCTGTGAACTATTCACTTTTTCGATGACGCACAAAGGGTCGGGACGGTAACATCTATATAGATGGATAACCATTGAAGTAGAGTAGTTCAATCAAGACCTCACAGGTAATCCAAATACTGATGCCGTAACGCCCGTCATAGTGCTACAATGCACAATTTTTTTCCAACACAAATTAATCTAGGTTTATCCAACTTGACCTCCGAAAAAATAGTTCAAGCATCACATTTTACAAAGCTTAATAATAATACCAGCTGAGAAAATAGAAAGAATATAAAAAACATATTATATACATAATGTATAGAAAATATATGGATTCTAGAAACAACATGTTCAATGAGTGGTGGTGGGTTGTGATATGCTTGGAAGGCGAAAAACCATTAGAAAATGTTCTGCACTTTTTTGGAATTACAAGTTGTATATTCCTCTTGATTACCTAGGTCGATCAGACGGAATTTAACCGCACAACTCGCCGTCGATTGAGAGGTAGCCGAAAGACAAGGTGCTGTGTCCCCGAACCTAACAGGTCGTGACAAGCGTGTATTTTGGTAGTGCAGCAAGGTTTCTGCCTGAACACGATACTTCTTCACTGATTGAGAAAATATCCAGATTTAAGGTCAAACATGAAAACATTGCAGCTCTCCAAAACCAATTGCATAATAGATATGAGCTTAACCTTTGGTAATTCTTGCCATGGCGCGCCGAGCTGAAGCAAGTTGAGAGATTCTGTTTACTTTTAATAGCCGTGATCATCATAATCAGCCTACAAATAGGAGTAATTCGATAAGGCAGGAAAAAACTGCAAGCCACACAGATATTTTATCTGAGACATTGACACCCGATGAATCAAGCAACACTAGACCACGTGACGTGAACCGAGTGATCGAAAGATGAGCGGTGAGGTCCGGTCGTGAGAAAATCATACAACTGACCAGCCAGTCGTTGCTGAATAGATTAGGTTTCAGCTAAAAGCCTAAGGTTTTCGATTCGAATCGTAGTACCGATTCGCGGAGTCGCGTATCGCCTATTCTTTCTAGCTAGGACGAAATAGATCAATAGTGTGTTCCTGAGATCGGCGCCGTCATCCACTACCAAAATGGTTTTCCACTAGAAATTTTGTTATTCCGTCTTCTGTCACCTCCCGTCATCCGAAATTCAAACAACCGTCTCCGGTGCCACACTCTGCACATCAGTTTATCGCTCTGATAAACGATAGCCGCAATACTTCTATCATGCGGAAACCTTGGTGTCCCTACTCACAATTCAGTAAGCTGTCCAAAGTCATCAGTAATCGGGTGCTTCAAAGATGTGTGAGCATGATTTCACCTAGAAATAACACATTACTAATGTATGCAATGCTACTGAATTGACCAGACATGTCGGTTATGTTTAGGTATCAGTCTTGATGTCCAACGCGTTTCTTGAGTAATTGTTCACCGAATACGACCGTAGTGATGAAATCACTTGACGGAGGCAATTTCCACTTCCAAAACACAATGATATTTTCTCGGCGGTCAGTCGAGTCGGTTTAGTTCCCTCGGTCCGAGGAAATAAGCTTTAAAAAGAGTCTGATTCGGCAAAATTGCGTGAAAATATGACAGTGTAGGAAACAGTTTGACTCTTATCACTCTACAAAGTACCCATTAGCAAGTGGTTTGAGTAAGTGTCTTCATTGCCTGATTAATATGATGCAGAATAACGGTTCTGACCCAACAGCATCCATGGAGCTTGTTGACGTCAAAGTAACGATTAAAACAGTGAATTTTGTCAACTGATGAGCTTGTCCATGAAATGGACGGAGCGACTTAGGCCCCATGTAGGTGCAACAATGGCTCCAGGTACAAATTTCAGACAATTTCTTTGAATTTTGTCTACTGATGAGGTTGTCCATGCAATGGACGGAGCGACTTAGGCCCCGTGTAGGTGCAACAATCGCTCCAGGTACAAATTTCAGACAATTTCTTCACTGTTCACAGGTGCTCGGCTATGTAATGAATCCTCAATGCCAAGCTAAAAGCTGCACCAAGACCAATACAGTAATTCAAAAATAACCTGTTCGTAGTCAATAGCATGTGGGTAGCGAACGTGTCCAAAGCTTAATTACTGTACTTGGACTTTATTTTCGGTTTTCAAAAAGGCAGCAAGTTTATATCGACAATCTGCTACGAGTGGGTGTAAAATAAGCCTTCTGCTAGCCCACTTAGCGGTACCAAAACCAATATGAACGTGAAATGGTGTCGCACAATCGACTACTTTTTTGCTTATCTGACAAGCATGCCCTACTGTTGATCCTGTAAAAGAGAGGACTTGGAATGTGTTAGGAGGGTTTTATGAGTGATGGCAGATGGCAGTTGCGAGTTTTTTCTTATGCACCCTGCTGCATGCAGAGAATAAGACGGCCCCACTGAGTCCGCCACACAACGAAGAACTAGGCATAAATTCACTTCTGTTTTTGTATTTCATGGCCGTACCAGGCCTTTGATTTGAAAGTCTGACCGCAAGAAGCGGTAGCCGACCTTGTTCTACCTATTATTGCCGAAATTATCTCTGGTCAGGTAGGTGTCTATCGAATCATTAACCATTAGTCTGGTGGAAGATACGTGATGGAGAGTTATTGGGATACCTCTAATGTAGCTCACAATCGGGCAGGATACCGTCAAAAACTGTCAAGTGGGGACGGAGTGATAATAGAACTGATGGTAGTCAACAAACTTTAATACTCCGCTTGTAGACCTCGTGTGCAAATACTAGATTCATGCAACCTTCAGCACTAAATTTCAAATTCTTTAGAATTATTACTCACACGCTTGGCTGACTACAAAGGCTAACTAATAACTTGGGCTGAAATCAAAGAAGAACCGAATCATTCGTCAAATGTATATCATAATACCACCAAATTAAAGGATAGCTATCGCGATTATACACAGTGAATTGCAGGACTTGAAAGGAATCCAACGGTAACATTAATGCCTGTCTGGAACTTGCAGTTAGGTCTTGGTACTGCCATCAGGTTCATAAAATGCGTAAAATATATAGTAGGTGCTACATACAAGTACGTGACAGGGTCTTGAATTTTTGAAGCACCAATGCTATGATATCTTGCGGCAGCGTAAACAAGACATGATGTATGTACCTTTACTCAGGCTAACACACAACACGCGTGTGGATAACAGCTGTCGCAAAATTGCTAGCACAAACACTTCTGATAAAAGCTCAGAGGTCGTCCATTAGACTCATGAATTTACAGATGGCCTGAAAGTTTGATTGCCTCATTTGACTATTCCATCAAAAGCTTTCCGCGACCTTTAAATCAGGGGTACACAACCTGCCCGAGCACTTCCACTATACACTCCAACTAGTTTCTCGAACTCGGATTACTGTGTGACTTCTAGTCGTGTCGTCCGTCTGCAGTTTCAAAGCTGTGAACGCTAGGGACAGAGGTAACCAAGCCAAATACTGGACTCAAACGTTTTGCAGTCAGATAAGTTCTTATGGAATGACTCGGATCCAAAAAACAGCCCAAATAAGTTCAACTGAATCCTCCGACATTTTGCAGCACACTTATATTATAGATTATACAGGAACAGCGTGAGAATTCAGTGTTGCACTCGAAACCTGTCCGGGTTTGGGTAGTTTTATAGTTTTCATCGGGGAAGCTGTCCTGACTTTGCATACGAACATATCGGTCCTATCCTCAGATCCATCTAGCTGTCTACCACAATGAAATCGGTTCATTAAGAAGAAAATCACACAGGTCGTTTGAAATCTCCCGGAGAAGTCATCCCTCGTAATATGGCCTGGCATGCCCATCCGGTTGACGAGCGTAACCAACAAG